ACAATATGCAATGTATTAATTATCATAACTGTCCTACTAACCTGTTTTGAAACTGTCTCATTGCTATTTCTTTCTTAATAAAATTAATTTTAAAAAGATAAAAATAAAATAAAGTAAAATTTAAAAAAGGAAAAGGAAAAAGTTCACTCTGCAATAGAGGAGTTGAGAATGAACAAAACAGATCAACCATCTCCAAAGAACACAGTTGTTGAGCACAAACCACAGTGGAGTGTTATTCACTCAAGGAATTTCTGAAATAAGTGAGGTAAGTGCTGTCATCCCAATTCATTTTATGGATAGGGAGACTGATGCTCACGGAGTTAAAGCAGCTTGCGCACATTCCCTCATTCAGAAATGTCACTTGACTACCTGCTTCCTCCGTGCCAGCTTCTACGTAAACTGGCCTATTTGTGCTCCTGCCATATGGCAATGCTGAGGCGATGACTATAATTAGAGTCCACAGTCCGTGCTCAGACTGCTATATCCATCAGCCAGGGATGCACACTGCTTCCCTGGGCCCACTGTGATCCTCGGAACACTGCCCTGCCCTCCATAGTGCCGCTAACACAGATGTGGGTCCTAACTCTGCAGAGACACTACTTGTGGCTAAAGTGAAGCCAAGGGACACTCACCACCCACCCTCTCCCATGCCCTCTGCTGTCACAGGAGCAGAGGTGCTCCTTACTTGAGTTTCTCTGGGTCTTTGGCTGGCAACATCGTCAGCACCATAGAGGACTTCTCAACAGCTGAACAGGAGACCACCATGTTCATCTGAGGGACAAACTTGACCTGCTGACACCAGTTGGGATGGAGAGCCTAGGGAAGAGAGAGGTACTAGTGGGAGATCCTTCCAAGGACAACTGTGTTCCAGGCCGGGCCCCTGGAAGATGGCCAAGAGGGGACTTAAGACTTACCCTAGTGACCACAGCTGGGAAAGGGTGATGTGGCCCATAATCCCAGCCCAGATCCAGGAATCAAAGGAGTATGGCCATCCTTTATTTCAGAAAATGCTTATAAGTACAGGAACATAGTTTTTTGGGGGGTTTTATAAGTTAGAGGACAAATGAGGTTAGGTTCATGGTAGTACCATTCTCCCAAGGGTGTCCAGATCCTCATCTATCGTGCTGTGCACCCACTGCCAACCTCCATGTCTGCTCATTGGTGTGCTTGTCAGAGAATGGCAAGAGTGAAAATGTGCATCTTGTTGCAACTCTAGCAACAGAAGGAACACACACACACACACACACACACACACACACACACACCCAGGAGGTGATCTGGTGGCTGACTCTGGATCCCCACCTCTGCTCATGATCTGGACCAGCCTCAACCTCCCAAGTCCATCCTCTCCAGGTTGGGAATGGAGGAGACTGAAAGATGGGGGAGTCCAGTTACAGAAAGCCAATCATTAAACATGGTTCAGGGGCTCCCACATGCAGAGCACCAGGCCTTTTCAGGTCACCATCTCACCAAATGCCTATCACAATGATATCATGAATCCCAAGGCACTGAAGGAGACATGGGACACTGAACAATGCACATGGAAAACCAAGCCCAAGATCAGAGTCCCAGAAAGGAGGAAAGGAATGGGAGGTAGTGGGTGCTTCTTCCTGAAAGGATCCCACCTGCTCTGAAGGAAGCACCTCAGAGCTTTAGGCCACCCAACTCAGACTTGCTATAATTGTTGATACACTGTATCAAGTTTAGAAGCTTAACTAAGTGACTTAGCAGATCTACAGCCTAGAGTGTAGAGGACCCGCCCTCGGGCTACCCTGCCTTGGAGCCAGCTGATTATGGTGAAACCTCCACAAACAGGGAGCTAAATAAATCCTTCCTCCTTTAACTTTGGGTGTCTGAGTATTTTGTCTCAGCAACAAGAAAAATAGCTCAGGGCCAGCCAGATAGCTCAGCAGATTAAAATGCCTGTTTAGGCAGACACAGGGGCCAGGGGTTCGATCCTTGGTGTGCTGTGCTGGGCCCACCCCCACAGCATGCTGAGAAAGCGATTGAGACTGGGTGTGGTGGCATCCGCCTGTAATCCCAGCGCTTGAGAGGCTGAAAAACAGGAAGGATCACTAGGAGTCTGAGTCTGATCTATGTAGTGAGACCCTGTAGACTCTATATTAAATACATAAAATAAAACAAAGTAACTAAGACACTTGCCCTGAACATCGCATATCTTTATTTGTTCAACAAATGTCCTGGGAACCACAAAGCCCAGAGACTGAGGCACTGGAGACAGAACAGAGAGCACAACATACGCAGTACCTGTCCTCAGGGAGTTGTTAATCTCATGAGGATAACAGGAAAAAAATAATGGATAGATAGACGGACAATATAAAGTAGGGAATAATAAACACTGCAGGAGGACAGAATAAAGGCAGAGGCAGGCAGCAGGTTGCTCTGGTTGATTGGTTAAGGCATGAGAGAAGAAGAGGGGCAGTATACCAGAACCTAGGGTAGTAGCACTGCAGCCTCAAGGAACAGCATGTGCCAAAGCCCTGCAGGAGGAAAGGGCGTGGGCTGCCAGGAGAAGGAAGGGAGCCTGTGTCTCTTGCAGCAGAATGAGTAAGACACGTAGAAAACAAGACTTGGAGCAAGCCAGGAGCCAGATCAACTTCAGCCCTGATGGTCAAGCAAAGACTTGAGATTTTGTTGCCAACATGATAAGAAGCCACTGGATTGACACAGTTGTATGTCTAATGCATAACTCCTCCAGCTCCTCAATGGAGAAAGCATGGGTGGAGAAAGAAGCAGGGAAACCAGCCAGAAGCCCTGAAGTGTTCCAGAAGATAAGGTTGGCAGTGCCAGGGTGGAGCTACGAAGGCAGTGAGGGATACGGCCACACTTGGGGACACGGTGTCCTTGTCCTCTACCTGGGCCCATGGGACCCAACAACTGCCTCCCTGCTGTTTTTACAGCCCAAGTCCCAAGAGAGAAGACTGAATTCAGGGAATAAGTATACTTTCTGCATTTATCTGTGAAGGGTGCGTGCATAACGGTACAATATAATTAGCATGGTAATGGGAAAGAAGTAACTTACCGGCAGCCAGTAACTTCTGTACAAGATGGACTTCTCATTTAAGAGTTTCTGCATGGAAACACTGACCCAGCTATCTGATAAAGAAAAACACTGAAGTTCACATCATCAGCTTTCCCCTCTGCCAGACAAGCAAGTCTCGGGCAGCAGGTGGAGCAGGAATGCAATGCCTTCGTGTCTCAAAAAGCTTTGGCCAAGAGCTAGCCAGAGCCTTGCTGTGACCTGGTGAGCTCAGGTGTCTCTGCTCCAGTTAATCTCCACCTAGGCAGGTCATGCTGCCACCAGCATCCCCTGCTGGTAATGAGAATCCAGGACCCGCACTCTCACAGATGCTGCAATCTAAGTAAGCCAGTTCTGCTACTAAGCCCCAACCTAGCTGGAGTGCAGAATGAACTGTGACTGCAGGCTGTAGTCATCCTGAGAAGCAGTCCTCCAGGCATCTGCTCAGTGCCTTGGATACCCGTGCTCCTTTCCAGAAAGCAGCTACATAAGTGGAGGGTACATACATGCACCATGAAACAAGCCACTCCAATGTGCCAGGCACTGCACACAGCACAGTGTGGCCCCCATGCACTGGCCAGAGAGTCTCCAGACTGACAAGATTAAGTCTCCAGGGAAAGCAAGCTGGACACAGATGGGTGGAGCCAGTGGTGCCAGGGCACAAGCATGGGCCTACCCTTAGGAGCAATTTAGGGAAGGAGGTTGGAAGCACAGACAATTTGGCCTCAGATCTGACAACAACTCCCAGGGAAAGTAGAAGAAAGAAAGGATGGGGGTTGGGGGGCTATGCCAAGCAGTTCAATTCAGCAGTCACCAGCCCCAGCTCCAAGATCAGAAAGGAGCTAGCCAAGGAAGTCCGAGGGGGAAGGATGTTGTTCTAAGCTGGTGAAGTGGGGCCATTCGCCATGGCACAGGAAAGAGCTGTGACATGACTACATCTTTACTGCCTGTCTCCCACAGTCTACAAGGGCCCAAGAAGGACAGGGTGACACTGACACTGAGTGCTTACTATATGCCTAACACTACGCACTTGTTCTATGAATCTTACCTCAAAGCCGTCAATTAAACACAGTTGTCCCTATTTGAATAAGCAGACTGAGGCACAGGGAGATTGAGCAGCCAGCTTCAGGTCACACGGAGCGGGGAGCCTATCTCAGTCTGTCAGCTCTGTCTCACAGCTACACCTCCACTGAACAGAACATCTCCTCCCTCCGTGTTCACATTTATCTCAGCCTTCCGTTAGCAAGTGGCCTGGAAGGACTCCTGCCCCACACTCCAGCTTCATTTGTCTCCCTGGGTCTCCCATCTAGCACTCAGCTCAGAGGCTACTATGACCAAATGTGCTAGCTCCTAGGTGGCACAAAGTGATCAGGGCAGGGCAGGCTCAAAGGCTTATGAGACAAGGAGCTGCCCCAATGTGGCATGCAGGACAGGACCTACTTTTGGTCTCCAGTGGGGGCATAGCCTAGGAGGCTTGGCAAGGGGCTCACCCAGCCATCAGAACCCTTAGAGATGTCCTGCTCAGTTAGAGTTCAAGGGTAACGCTGGTGTCCTGGACTGAGGCAATCAGACCCCTGGTGGTCCAGGCTCCTGTAGATGGATATGGCATAGTCTGAAGGCCCCACATTGTGCATCCATAGACTCATTCTAGGCCAGCTCAGGCAAGTCCCCCAGACGGCTCCAGGCCCCATGGCCCTTAAGGACCTAGTATCCTTAGATAGAGTAGCTCCAAACAGCTTCCTTAGTCAATTTGGGACATAGTCCAGCAAGTGATTTAAAATGAGATAACCTGGTTTCAGATCTCAGTCATAATTTATAAGCCCCAATCCATGTATAAGTAGATTCCAGGGGCTGTAACAATAGCATCCCTCATGGCAGTGGGCAGAAATTACAGAAGGTATGCACCCGAATTTATTCATGTTCCTGCCTAGTCAAGCAGTTCTCTGGGTTCCCCAGAACCCACCCCACACATCTGAAAGCAGTTTAAGTCCAAAGAGAGGAGAAGCCACCCCAGAGCCACCCAAGGAAGATCATGGGATGCCCGACCTTAGGAGGCCAAGAGACTTCCCCAGGTCACAGCCACAAGCCTCACTCTTCTCAGGTTGAGGATGGCCCTGCAGCAAACCCCCACCAAGCTGCACAAGCTACTGCCTACAGGAAATAGCCTTCTTCTCATCTCCTCTTGGCTGCAAAGCCCAGTGGCCTACATATTCGCTGAACTCTGAGGTCCAAAGCAGTGAGAGGGGAGTGGGCCTCAATACCAGGGGAGCTCATTACTTCCTCCTCCTTTCACTCCAGGCCCAGCCCCATTCCCAACCCTCTTAGTTACCCCATTTGGAAGTCCTAGGAAGGACACGTGGGTTGAACAGCCCATTGGCCACATTTTCAGAAGTGAAAATGATGACATTGCCGTTGGTGTCCCCAAGGCAGAACACACCTTTGTGATAATCAGACCTAAGGAAAGATGGAGATGGAGGAAGCTGTGGATTCTCACCTGCTCTTTTCTGTCCCAAAAGCCCCCTCTGCCTTGGGAAAAAGGACACTTTCCACAGGCTTGGACCTGGCCCTGCACTTCTGCCATGCTGACAAGCATTAGTCTAGTTGCCCAGATCCAAGGTCACTCTTGAGCAAGAATTCTGTATTTTGTTTTGATCAAAATGAATTAAGCCCCCAAAATTTAATTAACCCCTAGTCCTCCAACTGCTCTTTGACAAGTCCTCCCTCCCTAAGCCTATGATGTTCCCAGGGTGTCAGCACATCAGGACCCTCAGGGCTGGATGGCTCACTGAGTGGGGGAAGGAGAGGGAGCAACTATTACTCCAAGGTCAGAGTGGTCCTAAAGATGGCCCCAAGGAGCAGCAGCTTGAGGGAAAGGAGTCACAGGGCCCAGCACCAGTGGGGTACAGACCTTCCCAAGCCTATTCCCAAGGGTCTCACTGAGACCCTAGCCTTACCTGCCCAAGTGATGTGGCAGCCACCAAGACCCCTTCACCCAACTCCCTGTGACTCACCAGTAGTTCATGACCAGGATGCAGTTATCCAGTTCAGTAAAGGTGAAGGCCCGGACACATTTATAGTTACTGATGTCAAAGAACTCTGGAGAAGACAGAGAGAGGGTGCTCCTGGAGCCCAAACTCATGTGTGGGCTAGGGTGGGGTTTGGAGGTGGTGAGCACTTCACAGCATCTCTCCTGGCCCTTCAGCCCTTGCCCTGCAACTGCACCCAGAAAGCCACCAAGCCAAGCGCTGCTACAAATGCTCCCACAGCTTTCATGGGAATCTGTATACGAATGAGACACCCAGCACCCAACCACAGCCTTCAAGGGCTTGTATAAGAGGACCTGTAGACCTCCATTATCCCACCTCTCCTACTGTCTGGGGCTGCCACTGCTTCAGCCTCCACCCCAGCCCATACACTCCAGTCATGCTGGCCTGTGGGCCCCATTCACCAAACTCATCTCACACATGGCCTCCTCGCTTACCATTCTCTCCCCCTGAAACATCCTGGACTTCAAGACCAACTCATTGTCCCCTCCTCAGAAGAGCTTCCCCTCCTAAGCTGGCCCCTGCTGTCATTCTCTCCCAGGCACCTATCTCAACCTCTAGTTAATGTTTTGTTTTGTCTGGGCCCCAGATGCTGCCTCTCCTCTGGACCGTGGGCTCAGTGTGGCAAGGAGCATCTGCACGATGTCCTGTGGTCACCTCCGTGCTGAGCACAACACCAGAGCTCTGCAGGTGTTCACCGAGTGTCATGGCTGTGGGAGGCAGGTAAAGGAGCCAGTGCTGAGCCCTGGGTGCCACAGGTAGCACCTCTGCCCCTCTGGCTCTGGCTGGCCATCACACTCACTCTGTACATCCCTGCAGGTGCAGGGCACAGACAGAAACAGGCAGCCCACATCCTCGTCACTCACCCACCTCCTTGCCCCACTGCAGCAAAACCCAGATAGCCAGAGGCCAAGTGGACTATGCACAGGCATATCTCAGGGAACTTCCCCAGGGAAAGGGGACTATGCAGAGCTGGGTCCCTGTAGGCTCACTTGTTCCCTCACTAGGGATCCTGCACCAGCCCCTGCTAGACTCATCTCTTGATGAAACATATAAACCTCCAATGGGGCCCTGATAGGCAGCTGCTATAAATCAAAACTCTCTCTAAGTCTGGCTCTGTCCAACAAATGGGGCCTCTTTCAGCCTCTGGTGAGTAGCAGCCTCACTGCCGGAACTGACTTCCACATCTGAATGCAGGCTCTCACCCCTCTGCCTCCCTACAGGGTCAGGAGCTGCAAGTCACAAAAGGAGGGCTGGCTGGACTGGGGCCACAGAGGCCACAGCTCACACTGCTGCCACGACCACCTGGCCTGGCCCAAGGGCTCCAAGTGGAGAAGCCAGATACTCAGCCAGGAGGGCTTTATGTCGGGATCCTCTCAGGAGGAAATGGAGCCCACTCCTGGGGCACCATGCCCCCCAAGTGCTCAAGCCCTTGCTGATGACTGACTGCTTTCTCTGTACCACACACTGTGTCCTCATAATGAATTCACTATTGCAAAGGCAGCCAGTCACCTACTATACACCAGCCACACCCCTAACCACAAGGCCACACTCTCACTGGACACATGGACTATTGGCCCCTTTTACCTCTAGGTAAACTGAGGCACTGAAAGGTAAAGTAATTGCCCAAAGTCACACACCTACAGAGTGGCAAAACCAAGGTCTTGTTCCAGAACAGCTGCACTCAATGTTTCCACTTAGCCCGGCCCCATGAGCTGCGGTTTACACATACATCTCCTCTTCCTGACTTCACAAATGTGCTGCTGGACCTTTCCCTCACTCACTCATCCACCACCCATCCAAAGCACTAAGCGTCCAAGAGACGCCAGGCAGTGAGTGAGAGAGCGGAGTAGAACAGATGCAGTCCTGACCACCGAGTTTCTGGCCTGAAGGAAGAAACAGACACAAAACAGAATGACAGTAAGAAGTGCACGGCTACACTCAAATGGGACCTTGAAGGGACGAGGGACAGTATCAGGAAGATCCTTTAAGAGAGGACTTGACTTGGGCAGGGGGTCATGGAGGGCTCCCTGGAGGAAGTGACATCTTCCTTACCCAAAGGAAAAGTAGGAGCTGTGGGGTAGAGAGAGGTGCAAGAGGGACAGCAGAGCACACAGAGGCCATGGTGCCTGCTGGAGGAGGCGAGAAGGGGCCACAACAGGTAGAAGAAAAACACAGAACGACAGGGCCCCATGAACCATGTTAAAGATACCACTTCCATCTTAAGAGCAAAAGGGGCCTGCCGGTTAGCTCAGCTGTTTAAGCGCCTGCTTATGCAAACGCAGTCAGACCCAGGATACCAAGGTTTGATCCCTAGCTCCACCTGTCTTACCAGACCTGCCCTTCAGGCAGCCTGAGCCACCAAAAAAAAAAAAAAAAAAAAAAAAAATCATCATTCTAAACCTTTGGGGGTTTTTACAGATAGCTCAGTTGTTTAAAGTGCAACTTGGGTAAATGCAGGCAGGCACATAGGACCGTGGTTCAATTCCTAGCTTCAAAAGCTGTACCAGACCTGCCCTTAAGGCAGCCTGAAGTAACCAAAATAAATAAATAAATAAAAACTCCTTCTCAAATTTTGGGGCTTTGCCAGTTAGCTCAGTTGTTTAAAGCGCCACTTGTGCAAAGTCAGTCAGGCACATAATACTGCAGTTTGGTTCCCAGCTCCAGAAGCTGCAAAGACCTTCCCTTAAGGCACCTGGAAGTCATCAAAAAAAAAAAAAAAAAAAAAAAACCTCTATCCTAAGAGCAAGCGGGTAAGTTGAAAGCTCTCTGCAAATAGGCATTCTAAAAGCTCATTCTGTGAGGAATATAGCTCATGCCTGTAATTCCAGACACTTGAGAGGCTGGAGCAGGAGGATCATAAGTTCAAGGCTAGCCTGGGCAATTTAGTGAGACTCTCAAAATAAATAAAAAATAAAAATAAAAAGGGCTGGGAATGTAACTAAGCCCTCCCTGGATTCAATCCCTAATGGTGGGGTGGGGAGGTTCCTCCTAGCTGCTATAAGAACCTCGAGAAGCAATATGCAGGCAAGAAGAGGCCTCAGTATCACTCAAATGAAAGATGCAGGGAACAGTAAGTGAAGGGGGAGAGTCAGCGCTGAAGACAGTCTGGTTACAGCCTCTAGCTCATACATTCTGATCTGCCCACTCCACATGTATTCACTCAGCATTCACTGAGCATCACCTGTCCACAAGTGGGGCTGGGCAGCCCACAACAGTGACCACGCCCTCTTGTGGCACCTGCCACAGGAGGCCCTGACTACGCACCTCTGATTGCAAAGGCCTCTCCACCTGGCCCTGCTCCTGGAGCACTGTTATCCTCAACTATGGTTGCTTAGCCAACAGATATGTGGTTCCCAGGGGTAGCAGGCCTGCGGAAGCTTCGGGGACTCACCTATCTTTAGCTCAGTAGATGAAACCGCAATGAGGTTCAGGTTGTGCAGGCTCACCAGGTCGATGACCCACATCTGCTGGTTGTGGTGCTGCTGGGTGTGGCTGAGCTAAAAAAGGAAGAGCAGGGGAGGCTGCGGCCCGGGGAGAGAGCACAGCAGAAGCACAGCACTGCTCGTGTACTCTTGCCACGTGAGACCTAAAGCCCCACGCGATGGATCTGGGGTGGAAGGAGCAGGTTTGAATACTCAGGATCTCTGGGTGGTCTGAGTATGACAGGGAAAGGAAAGGAAGCTGACTCTAGATCAGGCACTTTGCTGGGTAATGATGCTACTCACTGAGAGGCAGACTCAAGAGGAATAAGCCTTTGGGTACGGGAGCCAGTGACCTGCTGTTTGCACAGGCTTGCTTGGAGGTATCTACTGCACATCCAAGCAAAGCCCTGCTTAGCAGAAGAGCAGCACAGGGTTCCCAAGAGGAAGCCAGAATCTGGGCCAAGTGCTGTGACCACAAGCCCAAGATGCTGTGACCAGGATGCCAAGAGTAAACCCATACTGGACACATTACCTTCACTGCTGGGGTACTGAGAAACAGCTGTGCAGCTCCCTCCCACCTGTGCTCCACATGTGGTAGCCCCACTCACCCTAAAGGACCTAATCAGCAAGAAGGATTCAGACCAGAACTGCAGGACCCCATCCTTGGTGACAGTCAGGAAACATCTAATCTTCTTGAACCGCTGTATTAAAAATTCAACTTTCACGACCTCACACCCATGCCGTCTGTGGACAGTGAAAAACAAGCAGAAACAGCTCAGAAAGGAGGAGGCATCTGCATGAGGACAAGGAGTCACCAGGGAGGAAGGTTAAAGACAAGCAGGGACACCTTCATGCATACACTTGTAGGTACAGAACAAGAAGCGAATCTGGCTCCAGATCTGGGACTCCATCCCCTCCTCCAGGTGGACTTCCACCAGATCTGATAGGCACAAGAAAAGGAGGCCCAGTGTGGGCTGGGCATATGGCTCAGTGGTACAGTGCTGGTTTAGCATGTGCAAGGCCCTAGGTTGTATCCCTAACACAAAAGGAAAGGAAAGAAGAAAGGAAAGGAGAGGAGAAAAAGGAGGGGAGGGGAGGGGAGGGGAGGGGAAAGGCGAGGGGGAGGAGAAGGAAGGGAGGGGGAGAGGAAGGAATGGGAGGAAGAGGGGAAGGAAAGGGAGGAAGAAGGACCAGGACGAGGGACCAGGACCCGGGTTCAATCCCCAATCTGTATGCTGTGCATAGTGAACAGCTCCTACTCTTCTGCAAGATGCCATCCACAGCCTTCAGCAAACTTTAGTACTCCTTCCAGGGGCCTCTTTCCTGCCCCCAAATTCAGGAGCCAGCTGACTTTTAAGGGTCACCATCATGTTTACTTCTTGATACAGTATTATCCACAATTTCCCATTTCACCTGCCCAATCTTTGGTCCCTAACAGGGACCCAAGGACAGTCACTTGTCCTGGTTACCAACAGAACTACAACTAGGCCAGGTGCCTTCGCCTACCTTCAGAGTGCCTTCCTCCTACCTTTCTAAGCCCTGCTGTGGACATCAATCTGACTTGTAGCCAACAACAACCCACAAGTGTGAACTTCAGCTGCTGCCGCAGTGCTGGGGAGAGCAGCGGAATATATACCTGGATGTGGTTCCTGCTCTCCTGCCCTTGGCATATTTCTCTGCATAGATGATAAGAACAGACTCAAATGACCCTTCTAGACTGTGAGAAGCAATGAGAGCTCTCACTCTCTCACTCACTCTCAGCACCAAGGAACTGTCACCTAAGACAGTCACCAACTGTCACCTTGGCTTTCTCATCTGCTGAAGGACAGCTCCTCCATATCCCAGGACCAAATGAACTGTGTTGGTATACAGTGACCAGGCTCTGTAAAAGTGAGTTAACTTTAAAAGTTACCCTGCATGAAGGGAAATGACTTATTTGGCTACTTTCTCTATCAAATTGAAAATGATCTCTTAGTTCATCAGTTGAGCAAATAGGATAAAATAAGCTTTGGACATTTTTATCTCAGGATCCTTAAACACACTTGGGATCTAAATGTCTCAAAGAAACAGAAAGACCATGGGGCTGGTGAGATGGCTCAGTGGTCTAAAGCACCTACTTAGAACACGCTTAGCCAGGGAGATGGCTCAGGGGAATAAGTGCTTCCCTGGCAAGCTCAAGGGCCTGAGTTCAATCCCTGGTTCCACAAAAAAAAAAGAAAGAAAGAAAGAAAGAAAGAAAGAAAGAAAGAAAGAAAGAAAGAACACGCTTAGCAAAACACAGGGACCGCGGTTCAATCCCCCAGCACCACATGCCAGCCAGCCCCACCCCCCCGATGGGCTGAGCTGGCCACACACACACACACACACACACACACATAAATAAATAAATAAATTTTTAAAAAAGAAAAAGAAACAGAAAGACCAGTAAAAGCACTGGCCACATCATGCAAAGTACTCATGCCAGAACTCTGGCCGTAACATCTTTTATTCATCCCATCACTATCCTGTTCTAATAAATGTATTTTAGGTAACAGAATAAAGGCTAACAGCAAATACCCAGGACCTGGAATCAAAACAATAAAAACATCTGGAAAACAACTACTTAGTGAAGAAACAGAAGTAGATCTCTGGGAACTAAGAAAGCCAACAAGAAGCTGGGCATGGTGGCTCACACCTGTAATCCCAGTGCTTGAGAAGCTGAGGCAGGAGGATTGATGTGAGGTCAAGGCAACCCTATACTACATTTAAGACAGGCCATCGTGTCTCCAAAAAAAAAACAAAGCACCAAAAGGTTGAATTATATGGAGTGATAAAAGAAGAGACAAAAAAAGAAAAAAAAAAAAAAAGATCAATAAGGTACTTGGTAAGCTCAAAGATGAGACAAATAAGGGACCGGCCAAATAGCTCAGTGGATTAAAGTGCCTACAAGTAGGTGCAGGGGCTGGGGGTTCAACCCTGGCATGCTGTGCCAGTCCCACCCCTGAGGCGTGCTGAGATGGCAACTGAGATTGGGCATGGTGGTGTGCACCTGTAATCCCAGCACTTGGGAAGCTGTAAACAGGCAGATCACTAGGAGTCCGATCTAATAGTGAGACCCTGAATACCCTGTAGACCCTTCCCTAAAAAAAAATAATAATAATGGACTTGATAAAATGATTGGTGAGTTTACAGAAGACACTAATAAAAAGCTAGATGAACTAAACAAAATAATATAAAGCAGAAATTTACCAAAGGATTACAGCTCATGAAAAGGTACCAAACAGAAATCTAGGAGAGTAAAAATTCTATTGGAAGTATGGGTAGGAAAAATGATCAATATGAGGACAGTGTCAAGAATGGAAGACAGGGCTGATGCAAAAGACATATGCTCAGAGATACCTTAAAAACATGAGATCCCGGAAAATAGACCCAACACCTTCTAGATAGCACAAAGAAGACTAATCTAATGCTAACTGGAATTAGTGAAAAATCAAAGATAGCACAAATGGCATTTTAAAAACTGTTTACAGAAACAACAGCAGAAAACTTTCCAAATATGGGGAAAGAATTTAATACACAGATAAGAGAGGCACATAGTATCTCGAACAGCCATGATCAGGGTAGACCTTCTCCAACAACACATCACAGTCAAAATCCCCTCAGTAACTAGAATTACTGCAGACTGCTCAACACAAACTAGGAGAACCTGAAGTATTTCAAACCCTAAAAGAAAACTTCGAACCCAGATTAATAGATTAATATACCCTCCAAAACTACAGTATTTTTCAAAAAAAAAAAAACTATCTTTCAAAATTGATGGAGGGGGCTGGCGAGATGGCTCAGTGGTCTAAAGCACCTACTTGGAACAAGCTTGGCAAAGCACAGGGACCGCGGTTCAATCCCCCAGCACCACATGCCAGCCAGCCCCGCCCCCTGGTGGGCTGAGCTGGCCACACACACACACACACAATAAATAAATAAATGTTTAAAATAAATAAATAAATAAAATTTAAAAAAACAAAATTGATGGAGAAATAATGCATTTCCATGACAAAGAACACTTCCAGAAATTTGTGGAACTGAGCATGGTGACACATGCCTATAATCCCAGTACTGGAGAGGCAGAGGCAGGACTGCTGCAAGTTTGAGGCCATTCTGGGCCACATAAGGAGTTCAAGGCCAGCCTGCACTACAAAGAGAGACCTTACCTCAAAAAACAAAAAGAAAAACAAACAAACAAAATTAAGGACCACCAAGCCAGCACTCGATAAAATTCTCAAGAATATCCTACAAAGAGACAATGAAACCAGTGGTGCCAAAGTCTGGTAGTGTGGGGGCCGGGGAGATGGCTCAGTGAAATAAGTGCTTCCCTGGCAAGCGCAAGGACCTGAGTTCAATCCCCGGTTCCACCAAAAAAAAAAAAAAAAAAAAAAAAAGGCAGGGTCAGAAAGAGGTGTACTAACAGTGTTTGGACAGAATATCCTGTCTACTTCTTGTACTATGGATAACCACTAAGAAGATAGCAATGTACAATGTATTCTCAATAAAAAAATAAATATTAAAAAAATACATCATGAGACCAACAGCTGCGAATTACCATCCACATGAAAACCTTTTCTTAATTTAGTTTTGAACCAAGAGCACCTTTTATGAGAAAAATTATTTTTTTTAATTTTATTTATTTATTTATGTGTGTGTGTGTGTGTGTGTGTTATGTGTGTGGCCAGCTCAGCCCACCAGGGGGCGGGGCTGGCTGGCATGTGGTGCTGGGGGATTGAACCGCTGTCCCTGTGATTTGCTAAGCTTGTTCTAAGTAGGTGCTTTAGACCACTGAACCATCTCAACAGCCCCAAGAAAAATTATTGTAATTAAAAAAAAAATAAACTTTAAAAAAAAAAAACAAAGTCTAGTGGCGTGCAGATAAGCAGAAGCAGGGAGAGGACGACCCCTGGAACTTAAGGAGGGGCAGGCTACCTGGCCCTGGTTCAGTCGCTCCCCACAGGCCCAGGGAAGCATCCTTACAGGGGGACGATCCGCATGGGAAGGTGGAAGCGCAGGCGGTACTGACTCCTCCTCATCTCTTCCTGGCCCTGGAACTCGTGCATCACGTAGTCCATGTACTTTGGCTGCCTCAGGAAGCAAGACAAGGGAAGGAGGGTGTTTCCGCATTAGCCACTTGGGGCCCTGGAGGCTGCTTCCCAAACACTGTCCAGGATAAGTGGCCAAGCAACAACCTGTGCCCAGCTCTTGAATGTGGGGAAGGGTTATATTACAGGCATCTATGAAGACTAGAAGGAAGTCCCTCCCTCCTTTTTGCATCTGCAATGCAGAAAAGTCTGGCTTCACTTCCACACTTCGCATCTCAACTGGATACTTTTTTTTTTTTTTTTTGGCAGAACCGGGGATTGAACTCAGACCCTTGATGCTTGCCAGGCAAGTGCCTATTCTACTGAGCCATCTCCCCAGCCCCTACAACTGGATACTCTTTATTCACCTCCACTTTATGAATAATAAGACCCATGTGAGTATATATGAGTCGTCTGAGTCCACATACCAAGTTAATAACAGGTGCCAAGTTAATGCCAAATTAACCCTAACCTTACCTCTAACCCTAGAGCCACTAGGACAACTCTAGGCTACACTGACTAGCCTCATGTTAATATAGCTAGGGCCAAAGCAAACAATCATACAAAGCTATAACCAGAAATAGGAGCCAGGTGCAGTGCTGCACATGTGTAGTCTAGCTAGTCAAGTGATTGAGGCAAGTATTTCTTGAGCCCAAGAATTCAGCACCAGCCTGGACAAGATAGTAAGATCTGAGCAACCCATTTTGAACCCTTCCTGCCTCTCAGGAGCTATTCCTATTCCAATTCCTCCAGCTCTAGTCCCCATTCCTTTACTCCAAGAAATTTTCCTACTCTTAAAAGATAAATAAATAAATAAATAAGATAACAAAACTATGTTTTAACTAAACAAATTTTTAAAAAGAGAGGGCTAGGGATATAACTCAGTGGCACAGTGGCTTCCTGGCAAATGCAAAGTCCTGAGTTCAATTCCTAGTAGAAGAAAGAAGAGAGAGAGAGAGAGAGAGAGAGAGAGAGAGAGAGAGAGAGAGAAAGAAAGGAAGGAAAAGAAAAGAAACTATTATGAAGGATCATGGTTCTGAGCATAATGGCACACATCAGTAATCCCAGCTAGTGACTTTTCTGCATTGCAGATGCAAAAAGGAGGGAGGGACTTCCTTCTAGTCTTCATAGATGCCTGTAATATAACCCTTCCCCACATTCAGCTAGTGAAGAGGCTAAAACAGGAGGATCACAAGTTCAACACTAACTTGGGTAATTTAGGGAGACCTTGTCTCAAAGAAGAGTAGGGGAGGCCCTGGAAAGAGAGCTCAAGGGCTCTCTGGATTCAATCCCCAGAACTGCAAACAAACAGGACTGAGGACATAGCTCTATGGTATAGTAGCTGCTTAGCATTCACAAGGCTCCAGGTTCAATCTCTAATATTGTGGGGGGAGGGGCGGGGGGTGTCAGCAGCAGGATTATGTAGACAAATGGAGAGTGCTAGAAGTATATTATAGAACATTAAGAAAAATAAAAGCCACAAGAAAAAGAAAAGAAAATGTCACAGGACTATCCTGCTACAATGCTGTATATGGTTAGATTTCTAAATTTCTGTGTAAAAATATGTGTTTATTCCTATTTTTTTAAATTCTTTTTCTTCATATTCTGTAAGGACTTAAAGTTAAACACATCAATACTTGATGGAAAAATATCTGTTTCATGTTATGCCTAAGATATTTGATATTTAGACGGATAGTTAAGGTAAACTAAACTGCGTAAGTTGCAGGGTAATAATAAGCTTCTCTTCTGGAGGGTTAACAACCTAAGTTTTCAGATCAAAAATTGGAGAAAAGGACAGGCTGCAAGGTCAGCCAACATGTTAGCCCTAGCCTTTCAAGGTCAGTGAAGACTGAGGACATAAGAGAACCTGTACTGTAACTCATGTAACTCAGTTGTGCCCCAAATTTTCTGATCAAGGAGATTATGGAGCCACAGAGGAATGTGATCGATGATGTATAGTGTGCCTAAGGAGAGTCACATGGAGAGAAAACTTTCTCTCAGGCTTTAACAGAGAGAAAATTGGTCAAGCAATGGCCATGACACGTCCACATAGCTGACATTGACAAAGGATCTACAAAGTGCAGTACAGGGTTATAGGATAAATCCTGAGGGGACTTGACTGACCTTATCAGATACAAAACTTACATTTCTTGTTATATAGGTCTTGCCTTGTCTTGGTCTTAACCATCCAGCAGAAAAGTATAAAAAAGAGGTATATAAAGTAAAGCCATATTAATATGCTGAGCTGTAAAAGGCTCTAGTCAACAACTTCTGCAAATAACCCACTACTAGTGTGGACTGCTGGACTGTGTTACATTGTTTTGCTGAATTCAAGCACCTATAGTATTTAGGTACCAATAGAATTCCCATCTCTGACAGGACTAAACAAAAAAAGATACAAAGGAAGGACCATTTTGTATCTGTATATACAGAATAGTCAGGAGAGGTATACAGCTACTTTTGCTTAATTCAATGAGAAGAAAGATTTGTAGTAATAGTGTTTGGACAGGATATTCTGTCTGCTTCTTGTACTATGGATAACCACTAAGAAGATAACAATGTACAATGTATTAATTATTGAAAATGTCCTATTAATTAGCTTTGAAACTGTCTCATTATTTGTTTCTCAATAAAATAAATAAATAAAGGAAAAAAAAGAAAAGCCAAAAATTAAGTTTAGAAAATAGAACCTGGGGGTCTGGTGAGATGGCTCAGTGGTCTAAAGCACCTACTTAGAACAAGCTTAGCAAAGCACAGGGACCACGGTTCAATCCCCAGCACCACATGCCAGCCAGCCCTGCCCCCTGGTGGGCTGAGCTGGACACACACACACACACACACACACACACACATAAATAAATAAATAAATAAATAAATAAATAAATAAATAAATAGAACCTGGGCCTGGTGAGATGGCTCAGTGGTCTAAAGCACCTACTTAGAACAAACTAAGCTAAGCAAAGCACAGGGACCGCAGTTCAATCCCCCACCACATGCCAGCCAGCCCCACCCCCTAGTGGGCTGAGCTGGCCACACACAAAATAAATAAACAAACAAACAAACAAAATTTTTTAAAAAGAAAATAGAACCTAACCAGGCATGGTGGCACACATCTATAATCCCAAATTCAGGAGGCTGAGGCAGGAGGATTTCTGTGAGTTCAAGGCCAACCTGAGCTGTATAGTAAAACCCTGTCTTAAAAAAAGACAAAAATAAAATGAAATAGAACCTGGATTGAATACCTAAACCAAGGGAAAAGTATACTATAGCAGTTAACAAAGGGACCTTTGAGGCAGACTTCTGAGTTTGAATACTGGTCCTACTAACTAGTTCTGCCACCCTGGATGAATTCCCCAACCTCTCTCTGATTCAGTTTCTTAAATCTGTCAAACAACAGCACCTACCCCTCAAGACTCCTGTGAGGTTTAAGCAAAATAATACACAAAATGTTCAGCACATTGTCCATATAATCATTACCATCTTCACTACATAAATGTATCAGACTATGTTTTGGGCGGTTTTGTTTTGTTTCTTTTGTTTGCAGTACTAAGGACTGAACCCGGGGTCTTCATACTGAGTTATATTCCCTGTCCATTCTTTAATTTTTATCTTTTTTTTTAACATTTATTGTATGTGTGTGTGTGTGTGTGTGTGTGTGTGTGTGTGTGTGTATGTGTGTGTATGTGTGTGGCCAGCTCAGCCCACCAGGGGGCGCGGCTGGCTGGCATGTGGTGCTGGAGGATTGAACCGTGGTCCCTGTACTTTGCCAAGCTTGTTCCAAGTAGGTGCTTTAGACCACTGAGCCATCTCTCCAGCCCCTTTAATTTTTATTTCAAGACAGGGTCTTGCTAAGTTGCCCAGGATGGGCTTGAACTCATGATCCTCCTGCCTCAGCCTCCCAGAGAGCTGGATTATAAGCATATGCTGCCACATCTCATTCAGATTATATTTTGTACTTTTCTATATTTTTAAATGCTATTTGTGCTCTTTGTAGAACTTTTTTTGGGAGGCACAGGGGGTGGAACAGGGACACTGAGAAAGGGTCTTACTACGTAGTCCAAGCCAGCCTTGAACTCATTCTTCCTTTATCAGCCTTCCAAGTGCAGGCTCCACAGCATGTACCACCATGCCTGGCTTTGAGAATATTTAGAATCGGAAATAACAAAATCATTATTGTTACTGTTCCATAAAACCCTGCAATTTTTGGATTTTACAGCCACAGGCAGACCTGTTCCTGAGGGCCATGACATTGATTAGGATCCTCTAGGAGGACATGTAGGAGAGCTACATAGCAGGTAGGGGTGCCCCAAAAGGTCTCACGCAGGGACCACTGACACTTGCCATACATTCTCCTGCCCAAGGAGATGAATGAGCTACAATCAGACCACCAGTGCTTCCCTCTACCTGGCAAGCACCCCAGCTCAAGCGGAGCACAGGGAGCAGCTCCTGCTGCTCCCTGCCTGCCTGTCCTCACACCTCTGACATGGACTGTACTCTCCAGCCCCGCCCACTCAGCCACCTGAGGCAGCAGGGACACCTCCTCACCCAGGTGACGAAACCATTACCATCCGAATCCACCTTGAGAAACACTGACTCCAGGACCTCCTCTGACACGTTGCTCAGGATCGTCTTCATGGTCCTGATGAAAGTTTCCAGGTCCATGGCTTCAGAGGGACAGGAGAGCAGCACTTAAGTCACTCAGCACTCCCCAGGCCTCAAGTGTCCCTAGAAACCTGCATGCCAAGCAGCTTCATCCCAAGGGGTAGAAATCAAGCTCTACAGAAAGAAAACTATAGCCTAAATATGCAAAAATAAGGGAATGGTTTCATTAGCCACAGAACACTTGGATCCATTCCCCAGTTAACACCATGATCAGTGCTTTTTAAAGTGAGGAAGTAGTTATTATATTTTCATGAAGCTAGCTCCAAGACATAGATATATATAAAGTGAGAAGCCAAGTGGGAGGACTTGCTAAAAACTAATTTTAGGAGCTGGGGTTGTGGCTCAGGGGTAAAGCCTTGCCCAGGACTCCGAAGTCCTGGTTTGCCCTGGAACCAAGCAACAGCATAGAAGCCCATGGTAGCACAGAGGTCTACACAGCACCGTGGTGATGTCCTTAAGACCAACAGTAAGTGAAAAGAAGGGTCTGAAATGACATGCAGTACATAAACACAGTCCCCCAACCTAGGGTTTTTCAACTTTACCATGGAGCAAACAAATACACAACCAGTGTTTTTCACTTTTGGCACAGTAGTCAATAAATTACATGAGACATTCAATACTTCATTATAAAACATGCTTTGTGTTAGATGTTTTTGACCAACTGTAGGTTCATGCAAGTATTCTGAGCACCTTGAAGTCACACTAGGCTAAGCTGCAATAGTTGGTAGGTCAGCTTATGACACACTGAACAACTTACAATCATTTATCAGGCCATACCCTGTGGTAAGTCAGGGAGCATCGGTACAGTGTGATTATAGACATAAAAACACACATAGCCAACTATGGTGAAGATTAGTAAGGCCCTTGGGATCTGCTTTCTGGTGCTCATGCCTTCCTGTGGGCTCCCGTGTAGAGCTTGGGATGAGGGGGTAACTTGCTTCTAGCAGCAAAACTTGACACAGGTGACAGACAGGGTACATGGCCCTCTGTACAAGTCATTACGTGATTCTGTTAAATGGGATGATGTCCTGCTAGAGTTGCTCTCTCCCTCTTGGGTTGAGCCCTGCCAGCAGCCATCTTGGGAAGTCCTACATGGCCAGGAACTCTAGCCTCACAGGATCTGATGGTGGCCTCCCACCAGTAGCTGAGAAAACATGGAAGCCCTAATTACTGCGCCTGTGAGGAAATGAATTCTGCCAACAGGCTAGTGCACTATGAAGTGGGTTCTTCCTGGCCAAGCCCCATAGGACACTTGCAGCTCCAGCTGACTACCCGACTGTAGCTCTGAGAGATTGAGCCAAACAGCCAGCTGAGCTATGCCCACACTCCTGACTCACCAAAACTGGAAGACAAGAAGTGCATGTTGGGTCAAGCCACCAAGATGGCAGCACTACTGTCCACAGCAGCAGATAATAAACCATACATACAAAACTAGAAGAAAATGCACCAAAATGCTAACAGTGGTTGCATATGGGCATATTTGGACTTGATATACCTTCTTCTAGATCAGAAATAGCTTCCAGTATGTCTACACAACATACAATGATTATAAGTTTTAAAGAAGACACTGGATACAAAACTACTTGTCAGAGCTGGGCATGGTGCTGCACACCTGTAATACCAGCACACCAGGCTGCTCAGGCAGGAGGATCACAAATTGAAGCAGAGCCTGGATAACTTAGTGAAACCCTGGCTCAAAAAATAAACAAAAGGCTAGGATTGTAGCTCAGTGCAAAAGCCCTGGGTCTTGGGTTCAATCCCCAGTACTGAAGCGGGGAGGCTATCAGCTCAGAGCCCTTCACACACCCAGACACTGGGTCCTGTGCAGACGTCACCACCACCGTGTCGACAGTGTGGCTTTACCTGTAGTGGAGCCAATGCCCTCCTCAAACATTTTCTCCATCTCAGCCAGGTGCAGCCCAGTGAACAGCTGAGTGCTCAATGGGGTGTCAGGATTATGGCTAAGAATGATGGGTGGTGGGGAATCAGGATCCTCCTGGTCCTGGAATTCACCTAGGATGGACAGCTGGAACGACAATGATTACAAAACCAGGGACTGAGAGGGTTAATTTCTATGGAAAACATTTCTTAGTACATCTTATTTAAAGGAAGAATTTTGGGGCGAAGAACAGACTAATTAATATTACAATGTTAATGATATAAACAAATAAATTCTACTTATTTGCTTTTTCTTTTAGGCTTAAGAACATCAAGAGGAGCTGGCGAGATGGCTCAGTGGTCTAAAGCACCTACTTAGAACAAGCTTAACAAAGCACAGGGACTGCGGTTCAATCCCCCAGCATCACATGCCAGCCAGCCCCGCCCCCTGGTGGGCTGAGCTGGCCACACACACACACACAAATAAATAAATTAAATTTAAAAAAAAAAGAACATCAAGAAAAACTTACCAAGATCCTGCTTCAAAAATGAAAAAAAAAAAAAAAGAGGGCTGAGGAGATAGCTCAGCATCTGCTTGGAAAGTACAAAGACCAAAGACCCAGGTCCCGATCCTTGGTACTGCATACCAGCTGGCCCTGTGCTATGCCAGCCACTGAAACTGGGTGTGGTTGTGCACACTTGCAATCCCAACACTGGTGAGGCTGAGACAGGAGGATCACTAAGCTGTGTAGCAAGACCCTGTACCAAATAAATACATGAATAAATAGGGGGAGCCTGGCTCAGCCCACCCTGAAGGTGGGGCTGGTATGGCATGTGGTGCCAGAGATCTAACCACGGTCCCCTGTGCCTATCTAAGCTTGCCTAAGCAGGCACTTTATACTGCTGAGTTATCTTACCAGCTCTATTTTTTAAAAAAATAAGAAAATAGAGGCCAGGGAGATGGCTCAGCAGAATAAGCACTTCCCTGGCAAGCACACAGGTCTGAGTTCAATCCTTGGTTCTGCCAAAACAAAAAGAAAAGAAAAAAGCCAGGTATGACAGTGTACACCTGTAATACCCGCACGTGGGAGGCAGAGGCAGAAAGATCACTGTGAGTTTGAGGCCAGCCTGAGCTACATAAACAAGTTCAAGGTTAGTCTGCACTATCTAGCAAGATCCTGTTTCCAAAAATTAATTAAAATTTTAAAAAGTGATGAGAATATAGCTCAGTGCAAAAGCCCTGGGGTCAATCCAGGGAAGGCGGACTGTAAGGGGATGGGGAAGGGAGATCCAGACTGCAGGGTCAGAGATGTAGCTCACTGGTAGTGCAATTGCCTAGTATGTGTGAAATCATCAGTTTGGTCCTAGCGCTGAAAATGGTAGCGGCAGTGGAGCGTGGGGAGCTGCATTTCCTAACTTTGGGAGTTTAAATCCCACTGAAACAATGAATACATACATCCTTCTGTGAGTGCTCATTCATTCACTCATGGTCCCCACACATCTGTGGGGTGCCAGGCACTGTGGCTACAACAATAAACAAATTGAGAGTCCCTGCCTTCATGAAGTCCAGCAAATGAAGAAATTAACATTCACACCATCTACTCAGACCCCAAATTTATTATTTTTTTATTTTTTGTATTTTAGGGAAGGGTCTACAGGGTTTTCTGGGTCTCACTACTAAATCAGACTAGTAGTGATCCACCTGTCTACAGCTTCCCAGGAGCTGGAATTACAGGGCGCACCACCACGCCCATTAAGTAAAACTTCATATGGCCCAGTCCACCCTCAAGTCCCAAGTGTGACTTCTAGAGCCCTTTACAATCTAGCCCTGACCTATCTTTCCATGTCCAGGCAAGCCACTGATTCGCCACCATCCCCAACACACGAAACTTTCCACTTCTACTCACACCATCTCCTATACACAGTCCAAGCCTGTGCGGCAGAGAGGAATTTCCACCCACTCCTTTGGGTCTGGCTGAAATGGCACTTCCTCCCAGGGGCTTCTCCTACACTCCCAATGAGTACCACTGCTGCCACCTCCACCTTCCCAGGGTCTTTGTTCATTCCTCCCACTCACAGCATGCATCTGCGCACACACGCAGACAGCATGGAGTGAGGAGAATCACATGGCCCCAGAGTCCAGAGCTCGCGGTTAGAAATCTACGTGGCTCCCCACGTACAAGCTACTTTATCTGGGCACACCACATCACTACTCTGAGCCATTGATTTTCTCATCTGCAAATCAAAGAACCACAGGATTGTGGTTGAGACCTGAATACATATAAAACCCCAGCAAAGTGGCTTCAGAATGACAGCTCTTGTTATCATTCATCTTATAGTGGGTTTTTTTGACAGCAAAAGGATATTAATTTACCTTAATTTAATCTTTTTTTTAATTATTTATTTTTAATTTAGTGTGTGTGTGTGTGTGTGTGTGTGTGTGTGTGGCCAGCTCAGCCCACCAGGGGGTGGGGCTGGCTGGCATGTGGTGCTGGGGGATTGAACCGCGGTCCACTGTGCTTTGCTAAGCTTGTTCTAAGCAGGTGCTTTAGACCACTGAGCCATCTCTCCAGCCCCTACCTTAATTTAATCTTAATTTGTATGACCTCTACATTACCCAGCCTCTGGGGCACTGAAGAGATACTCAATACACATAAAAGTTCATATGGCCCAGTCCGCAAAGGGGCTGTGGACGGATAGCCTTGCATTGCATCTGACCCAGATGGTACCTTAAAAAGGAAAAGCCAGCCTGTATGCAGTACACACTAAGGTGACCCACCTTTCCCTATAAATCTCTGAGTTTGCCACAGCAGGGGCAGAGACCAGTGGACCACTATGCTGATGAGTGTTACTTTGGCTCTGGAATGCTCCCACCCTTTCTTCGCACTGACAGTTTGCTTACCTTTTCAGAGTTAGGGCTCTCTCTAAAGTTCTCAGGAGACATTCGTCTTGACCTAAAACAGGAATCATGGTTGTTTTAACTCCAGTCTTTGTAAGACTCGAGTTACTTGTGGGAAACTGAGCAAGCCTGGCCACAAGAAGGCACTAAAAGCAAGGTCCAGGAGAAGGTGGCTGTCCCTTCCCGAGTGCTTCCAGCGAGCATCTGATGACCATCCCTTTCCCTCAAGACTGCTCCAGCAGGACGCTTGCTGCAAATTGACAAATGGGCCTTTCCTTACTGATGGAAAGGAGCTGTTCTACTGACAAGTTACTTCACTCCTAACTGCACATCAGGGACTTCCTTAAGGGGTTCACACTGTCTACAGGACTAGACGGGGCTTAGGAATAATTCAGATGAAGAAAATAAGATCCAGAGGCAGGTACATGTCCAAAGGCCAAAGACACGCACTAGAGGTAGCACGGGATCAGATTAGCCCCTGGCCTCCCACTGCATCCACCCTCTCAAGCCCCTTCTGTGCCCTTGGAAACAGGACTCCCTCAGGACAGCTGACAGAAAACCCTTACAACAGTGTGAAGGCCAGGTGAGAGCACAATGGAGAGACATTTTCATGTTCCAAACGTAGGTCCATGAGGATAACTAGCTAAAATTTTTTTCTCATTCTGCAGAATGTCTTTTCATTATGTTGGTGATTTCCTTTGTTGTGCAAAAGCTTTTAATAAGATGAGATATGCATCGTTGATTTTTTGTAGTATTTCCCATATGATCTGGGTTTCGTTCATGAAGTCCGCCTACACCTATGCCTTCAAAATTTCTACTTACTTTCTCTTCCACTAGGTTTAGTTTCTAATATTTAGATCTTTGACCCATTTTGACTTTTTTAGTACATGGGGATAGACACGGGTGTTTCTCCACTATTGGTGGGAGTGTAGGAATAGTGCAACTATCACGGAAATCAGTATGGAGGTTCCTCAAAAAACTAGGATTAAAGGTCCCACTTAATCCAGCTATTTCCCTTTGACCCAGCTATTTTCCTTCTGGGTATCTTCCCAGAAGAATTAAAAACATCATACCACAGCGATCCATGTGCACCCATGTTTATAGCAATACAATTTGTAATGGCTAAATCTTGGAAATAACTCAAACACCCATCAACCTAGGAATGGATAAAAAAAGATGTGGTCTTTTTATATTGAGTACAACTCATTCATAAAGAAAAATAAACTTAAGACATTTCTAGGTAAATAGATGCAAGTAAGACCATACTCAAGTGAAATAAATCACACTCACATGAGTAAACATCATATTATCTTCCTGATGTGAGAAACAGAAATTGAGTAAATAAGGTCCAAAATGTACAACAGATACTGTGAAAGAGGAAGAAATTGTTCAGAAAGAAAGAGGAACTACGGTGGGGGAAAAGTGGACAGGGAAATGGGAAAAAAAAAAAAAAGATAATTATACTAGTTTCTCTTTCATTAAAGAGGTGTGTGCTAATATCATTTGAAGAATTTTTTATGCCCTTATCTTGTACTGAATAACTACTTTGAAGATAACAATATGCAAGATATTAACTATTGTTCTGTATTTTATTTTGAATTTTTTTCCATAAAATTTAAAAAAAGAAAAACCGTTCAACAGGAGAAAGAGAGCAGCTTTATGTATATTCACCAGGCAAAGCACCAAGCAGACAAAAGTCAGTGGCAAGAGAGACCACTTAAAAGAAAAAAAGGAAAAGAAAAGGGGCTTGGGGCCATGGTGGAGCAGCAGAGCTTTTGCATAGCATGCATGAGGCCCTGGGTCCTGCCCGCAACACCAAGGGGTGGGGGGCACAGACAAAAGTACCATTTCCAAACCTGGAAGGAAAAAGAAAACTGAGGTGTCACATTCAATTTATATGTACAGCTAGAGAACCAGTAAGCAAAAGCAGAAGTCATACCCATTAGCCTCAGTCTACTAGAGTTGTCCAGAGCAGAATGCAGAGGGGAGGGCAAATCTGAGGCGAGTTTAGAACAACCCTAGGAGCATGCTAGGGTTGGGAGGGGGTAACTGGTGACAAGGACTGGGGGTCAGGCACTTGCAAGGGCAGATGACTGGAGATTAATGGCACTTGCGGCCATCCCTGAAACAGGTAAAAGATGTTCTCTGGTTCCCACTCAGGCTCTGCTGTCAGGCAAGCGAATCTGAAGGTAAAGTATCCAATTTTTATAGGACAGCTTTAACTCGGATGTTCACTCACCCTGACCCAATTTGATCTCCCCAGCTAAGCGTGTTCCCAGACAGGGCATTATTAGTTTTGAATTCCCATCTCAACTGAGACATCTTGGCAGCTGTCCCTGAGTCCAAGCTTATTCCTCTGTGAAGTTGCTATGGAAATCTGTTGCTGAGGAACTGGCTGGTCGTATTTAGAACCAGGGAAATGAGAGAACTCCACACAGAGAACATAAATGTAGTATCAGAATCCACCTCACAAACATGAACACAGTCATTTTTTCCTCCAATGTGAGACATTCTTTTTATTAATGAAGTTTAACTTATAGAAGTGACAAATGACACACAAAAATGGCCGGACAAGTATGACTATAAAACAATCCAGATAGATTTTTTTTTGGGGGGGGTGTGTTTGGCAGAACCGGGGATTGAACTCAGGCCCTTACATTTGCCAGGGAAGCGTTTATTCCACTTAGCTATCTCTCCAGCCCCTATAAAACAATCCAGAGAACAAGTACTGGCAGAGAACCCACCTCTCCACAGAACCACAGATAACAGGGAGCCAAAAGCAGGGCTCACCCACAGCTGCAACAGCAAAAGCACATGAGCTTTCCGAGCCCTCTTCATGAGTTCCCCTTATGTGACAAGAGGATGGCAACAAGAGCACTGTATGTGAGATGGGGACTTCCAAATCCAGACTAGGAACAGGCCGAGATCTGAAGCCAGCACTGCAAAATCTTGGCACAAAACAGGACAGGTTGGTAAAAGTCTCTTCAGAGATCTTTGAATCAAGAAAGCTGGTTCCAGATTTTAAAATATCATACATTTATTTAAATCAGCAAAATCGTATTTCACAGGGAATTGGATGTTACCAAAATGCCAAGAAACCTCCAAACAAAACATTTTCCGTAGGCTCAAAAAGGAAATGCTAACATACCAAAGATATTTCTACTCCCATCTAACCAATAATGGAGATAAAATAATGTTGTAGTTTGGGATTTTGCAAGGGGAATACAATACAATACAGGACACGAACATTTTATAAAATTATTTTATAACAAACTCCCCAAAGAATCATATACAAACAGTGCATGAAGTCTGTCCAAACACTAAAGATCAATTAATCCAGCTGAGAGCCTAGATCCTACAATATCCTGCGTGGGTTCAGCTGAAGACCCAGAGCTCATAACAAGGCGTCCCACAAGTCCAACTGGAGGTCTAGAGCCCACGACAATGTCTCATGCGGGCCCAATTCGCAGATCTGTGCCAGGAAGGTGCAAAGGTCAGTGGTGAAAGCCAGAATATCTGTGCCAGCAGGATGAAAGATCTATGCTAACATGCTAGGGGATCTGAACTAGAGCCAGGATGCATTATTCAAGGTAAGAACTGGAGCTCCCTGAAAAGTACCACAGCCATTCTCAGCAACAGGGGGGCTCCAATCTCCTCCGATGATGATGACAGCCGAGCTCCCATCAGGAAAGCTAGCTCGATGGGCTTCTTCAGGAGACTGAGCAGTGTATCATCTTCTCTGGACCCAGGAGGTGATGCTCAAATGACCACAGCTCCCCAAAATGAGCCACAGCCATCCTCTGGGACATCGAGATCCTGAGCTCCTCCTCCAATGAGAAAAGCTAAGTTCACCAGGAAAGCCAGCCAGCCTGACAAGGTCCTCCAGAATAGCCCACGAGAACCAGCAGCTTCCAACTGCTCCCCAACAGCTTCTACAGCTTCCCCAACAGCCTCTTTCCTCCTCCAGTTCTGCCCCTTATGCTGCTGGCAACACTCCTCAGGTGGGGCCTCCCACACCCAGCACCACTCTAGTTCAGTTCAGCTGGGTATAACAAGTTGACCACCTGTTGGCAATCAATCACAAAGACTTCCACTACATTAGTTTTACTAGCTATTAATAAACTACAGGATTTTTAAAAACAAGGCTAATGGTCTTACATTTATTTTTCATTGGGTTTTAACTAAGTAACTTCCCAACTGCAATGTCATCAAGTATTTTTATGATAGCATCTGCATTTTTTCCAACGACACGCATTTGCTAATCGAATGCTGTATATCTTCCCACTACAATTTACTTTCACTGACTAAAAACCTCACAAACAAAATTACATGGCTAAAATACACCAAGCTGTGGACAAATGTGGTGGCACACGACTATAATCCCAGCATTCTGATGCTGACACAGGAATATCAAAAAGTTCAAGCTCAGCCTGAATAACTCAGACCTTGTCTCAAAACAAAATACAAGCAACAGGGATGCTGCTTAGTGCAAAAACTCTGGGTTCAATTCTCAGCACTTGGGGGGGGGCACAACAACAAAACAGGGAGTGGAAGGGAGGGCACTTAGAAGAAAAATGCTTAATAGACCTCTACTCAAAAGTTATTCTAGAAAAGCTGCTCATGGTGGCACATACCTGTTATTTCCAATAGGATTTTGAGTTTGAGGCCCTGCTTGAGCTACTTACCAAGTCCCAGCAAATGTAAACTGCATTGCAATAGCCTGTCTCAAGCAAAATTCAAAACAAAAAAACCCTAGAAAAAAGTTAGAAGTCCTACTTGAGTTTAATTCAGGCATCACTCGTTAATCCAAAAGAAATCCTGGTCACCAACAAAGGGAGTCACACAGACACAGCTCCTCCAGAGCAGGTCCTCGCTTGCATCCCTCCTCAGCAGCAATGCCAACACTGACCTCAGTCAACACGGCAGAATCGAAGATATCAAAATTTGTATCCTTCAGCTCTACTGTATTCCATCAAAAGTTTTAAAATGCATTTTAAAAGGGCTGGGGAGATAGCTCAGCCGCCTAAGTGCCTCCCTGGCAAACG